ACCTTTATACTTTTTAATGTGTCAAATATAATAGCGCAGCTCTCTGCAGGGACAGAAGTAATTACTTCGTTATTATATTTGCCGGCCGTAGACGGGGCGAAAATCGGACAATTTTTTTTATCGTTGGTGGTAACGTCAGCCCATTGTACAAGCGATTTTTCAGTTTTTGTTTTTTTTTTTAAAAACGGTCAGTTTTTTGCCCCATCTATGCCCCGCATTTCTCTTTTTCTTCTTTTTCTTATTCTTTTTTTTATTCTTCTTTTTCATTTTCTTCTTCTTTTTTTTTTCTTCTTTTTCTTGCAGGTCATGGCTCATGCTCAGATTTTTTATCTGTATAAAGATCAGCCAATTTGCCGATCATTGCCGCTAAAATCCAAATTTTTATCCAAATTTACCCATTAAAAAAAGTGGCAAAATCCCAAAAAATGGCTGACCAATTAACCCACTAACAGCCTGAATATCAGCCGATTTTTTTTTTCGGCCGATTTTAGACCCATCTAAAGCATTGGTCTGCCGTTTTTCGGGATTTGGGCACATTTTTTTTATCAGTAAATTTGGGGAAAAAAATGCCCAACTTTACTGATAAACAAAATATGCTAAAATCCCGAAAAATGGCTGACCAATTATCCCACTAACTGAAGAGGCCCTTGTCCCCATTAACATGGGGACAAGGTGCTTTGGGGGGGAGCCCCCCTTGCCCCAAAGCACCCCCCCATGTTGAGGGCATGTGGCCTGGTATGGTTCAGGAGGGGGGGGGGTGCTCGCTCGTCCCCCCCCCTTTCCTGTCCTGCCGGGCTGCATGCTCGGATAAGGGTCTGGTATGGATTTTGGGGAATCCCCAAGCTGTTTTTTATTTAATTTCAGCGTGGAGTTACCCCTTAATATCCATACCAGACCCAAAGGGCTTGGTGTGGATGGGGGGGAACCCCATGCCATTTTTTATTTATTATGGTGCTGGTTTTTAAATGTAATTTTTCCCTTTTTTTTTCTTCACTATAGCTCAGAAATTCACCTGTCACTTCCCCCAGCTAAAAGAGAAAGTTTTCTTGGAATTTATATCCCTAAAGGAAACAATGTTTACTTTGAGTTTATTAAAAGAAACAAAGTTTTCTGTAACTTCGGGGAAAGTGACTTCTAAGCTTGTGAACTATAGTGAAGAAAAAAAAAAGGCTGGCATTTGCATTTGAAAATCAGCGCCGACATACACTTTGTATTGCAAAAAAAAATTAAAAATTATGTAAAACCGAGGCATTATTTTCAATGGATTTTCATTTTTACGTTAACCGAGGCGTTGGTAAACCGAGGTACGCCTGTGTTAGTATTGCAATCCTTTGTATTGGGATACATAGAACCAACATACATCTGAATTGGCAACATAGCACAACATTTGTGTCACATTTGAGATATCTGGCTAGTTACACTGACCTTGCCCAGGGATTTAGGATTGATTCACACCACAGAAATACAGGCAGGGTTAGTGTTCAACAGCTCTGTGGATTAGTGGTTAGCACTACTGTCTCACAACGCTAGGGTTGTTGGTTTGAATCCCAACCACAGCAATGAATTTGTATGATCTCTGTGTGACTACCCTAACATACATGTGCTGGTGGCAGCATCTTTGCTTTCTGTTTAAATGATCCCTAGAATGTGAATTAGAATGAGGCCTTGTCGAGGCCTTGTTTGAACAAAACACCTTTAAAGTAGCACCTTATGTGAATGTCAAATGATGGGATGAGATAAGGGCCTGGAGTAATGATTGATTTAATAATGATGGTTTGCACTCCACCTCCTTTTGGGAAAGTTTGTTAAACCATGACAAGAGTGAGCGAAAGAAATGGATTAAAAAAAAAAAAAATTAAATAATGGCATGGAGTCCCCCCCCCCCCCCCAATCCATAACAGACCCTTATCTGAGCATGCAGATACCGCATGCCTTCAAAGATTTATTTCCTTTGTTGAATTGCCTGCTTGGTTCACACTAGATGTGGTTTAAAATTGTGCTTTTTGTTGGCAATTTCACCGTGTTTTCTGTAGATTTACCAATGAGTTATTGCATTTTCAATTGTGTTTCACATTGCGATTTCTATTGTAGTCTATATGTGAAATCACTACAAAATGCTGAAAAACTTAGACGAGAACTACTTTTGAAATTGTGCTGCAGCAAATCGCTTACGTTAAGACACTCACATCCACATTCATTAGATCGGATATTAGGTACAATTTCAATTCCCAAATCGCACCTGAAATCGTGCACCCTGGATGTGACTTGGATGGCATGCGACTTGCAAATCGTATGCAAAGGCGCACCCTATTGTCTGCTATTAGAGCAGTCACATGGGTGCGTTTCCGACACTGATTTCTAAAGTAGTACATGTACTACTTTTGTGACGATTTTCATAGATATCTGTGTCAGATGTCTTGCAAATCGTAAGGAAATCAGCATCTTCACTGTATGTCGCACAATTTCTAAATCGGCTTTGATGTGACCACAGTGTAAGGCCTTTTTATGTTTGATTTCCTGAGTGTTTTTCCGATTTATGGGAAATGCCGCATACTAGCAAAAGTGAATTGCCATTTTCAGTATTGCATGCGAGATGTGGTCATGTGACTGCCTTAACTCATGCAAGAATCTGGAGTGAATTGTGCTCATAGGGCCAAGAAATAGTGCCAATAGGGTTCCGTTTTACATCCCTGTTCAATGTTCTGTTGTATGCTGCACAGGTACATGTCACTGTGGCTTTCTTTCTGACTCTGATTTGTGGGGCCTGTATACCAAGGGTTAACGCAGGTGGGAAGAGGATTCATCAGGTGCAAACACTTTCTCTGACCAAATGAATGACAGTGGTGGGTGTGGCCTACCTTATATAAGGAGATTGTCAATGTCCTACCTTTTCCCAGAGATTATGTTACTCCATGTGCTGGCATCCATCTTGGATTTCTGCTGAGCATGGTGGGAATCTTTTATGCCTTCAGGTCTCTGAGGTCCATCCCCCAGAGGGGTGTGGCTGATTACATATAAGCCTGTGGTCCGCACGTGCTCTTTGCACTTGTGTCTTGTGTCTTTATGTTGCTATTACTCTGTTCTGACTCTCGTGACTCTCCTGGAATCTGACTCGGCTTGTTACTCGACTATTCTTTGTCTTCTCCTTTGATCTGACCCTCTGTTGCTGAACCTGGCTCGTGACCTGTGATTCTCGTCTGCTGTCCTGTACCGTTTTGTCCTGTTGTTGTCGACCCGGCCTGCCTGACTATTCTATTGTCTTTTCCACCAGCTACTCACAATTGGCGGCGGCCATTACTGCAACTGAGGTGTCTCGGGGGCCGCGACCTGGTTCCTGGCTGCGTCAAGTCCATCCCCACCATCAGGGGCCCTGGTGAAGGGCAGCCTGGAACTTAGACTCCGCGCCCTGAGGGACTTCGGTCTGTGGGTGGCGGTTGTCGTCAGCCAGTGCGTTACATTGTTATTAGGCCTGCCTGTCCATTCCTCAGCTCCTGCCCTGACAGAGATGCAGTTGGGCTGGGGCTGATTTTTGCCTTGTACAGGCACATTATTTCTGCATGCCCTTGTCTGTGGTGGTTTGGGGGAGGAAGAGATATTGTGGTGAATTGCCCCCAGGCCACACTCACGCTGTGTTTTGATGTGGGCTGTAAATGTTTTGCATGTTCTTCCTTGCTCTGCTCTTCCAAATTTGCTTTATTTAGAATGAAGTGCAGTTTTCAGACAAACCTGATGAGAAACGTATGTGTGGGGGATTTGGGGAGGTGGGAGGTGTTATTTGGCACGCATGTATTTTTATATTGATATTTCGATCTGCAGCTTTTGTGAATAAGCCCAAGTGATATTAACCGTTGGTTTCCTGCTGTCAGGGATGCAGGGTGTGACCAGAAGTGTGTGGACTGACACAGGGAAACGTAGGCTTCAGATATAGTAAATAATATAATTTATAATTTATTGAGACTAACAATACAAAATATAAACGCAGTGCACCAAACCCCAAGCTAACACAAATACATACAACAAGGTGAAACAAACCCAAACCTAAACTGATATAGATACACAGGTACATACACATATAGAGCACAACGTAGTCAGGCAGGCCGGGTCGATAACTATCGGGCAGGTAGGTACAGGAGGAGCAGGCGGAGAGAATGGTCAGGGTTACAAGCCAGGGATCAAACAGGAGAAGTCAGCAGAGGTCAGGATCAGGCAGGGTCGGCAACAAGTCAGGCAGAAACAGGAACAGGAACAGGAATGCAGGTTACAAGGTACAGGGGCCCATGGAAAAACACACACCAAGGCACAGACTGCAGGTCTGGCCATCCCTTAAATACACCTGCAATCAGCCCCAGGTGATGGCTAATTGCTGAAGTGAACCTCTGGTTGTTGAGAGCACCCGCCGCTGGCCAGCCCTGGTACTACTGCAGCCCCACAAGGCAGGTGAGTCCCACCACTATTGGCAAGTCCATTCCTAACAGTACCCCCTTCCTCAAGGAGTGGCCTCAGGACGCTCCAAACAGTCCTAGCTGGGCAAAATGTTCCACCGCCTGGGTCCGGTGACTTGCGGGATATCACAGACTGGCACATCGGGCTGGGCACCGGACGGAGGCACTTTGAGCTGGGCACCGGAGGGAGGCACATTTGGCTGGGCACCGGAGGGAGGCACATCGGGCTGGGCACCAGACGGAGGCAGTTCGGGCTGGACACCGGACGGAGGCACTTCGGGCTGGACACCGGACGGAGGCACGTCGGGCTGGCCAGGAAGGGTGGCGGGCACCGGGCCACCAGGCGGAGCGGCGGGCATCGGGCAACCAGGCGGAGCGGCGGGCACCGGGCAACCAGTTAGAGCGGCAGGCACCGGGCAACCAGGCAGGGCGGCGGGCACCGGGCCCCCAGGCGGAGCGGTGGGCCACCGGGCCATCTGGCTTGACAGCGGGCATCGGGTCACCAGGTACAACAGCGGGCACCGGGTCATCAGACATTGGATCGTCTTGCTCGACCGCGGGCACCAGGTCGTCTGGCTCAACAGTGGCCATCGGGTCACCAGGCACGACAGCGGCCATCGGGTCACCAGGCACGACAGCGGCCATCGGGTCACCAGGCATCAGGTCATCTGGCTCGACAGCGGGCACCGAGTCATCTGGCAAGGCAGTGGGCACCGAGTCACCAGGCATGACAGCTGGCTCTGAGTCAACTGGCACGACAGCGGGCATCGGGTCACCAGGTATGACAGTGGGCACTGGGTCATCAGGCATTGGATCGTATGGCTCGACAGCGGGCATCGAGTCATCAGGCAAGACCGCGGGCCCCGAGTCACCAGGCACAACAGCGGGCTCCGAGTCAACCGGCCCGACAGCGGACTCAGAGTCAACTGGCAAGACAGCGGGCACCAAGTCATCTGGAGGAACAGCGGGCATCGAGTCGTCTGGCAAGACTGCAGGCACCGAGTCGTCTGGCAAGACTGTGGGCTCTGAGTCTGAGTCAACGGCCCAACAGCGGGCTCTGAGTCAACTGGCAAGACAGCGGGCACCAAGTCATCTGGCGTAACAGCGGGCACCGAGTCATCTGGCAAGACTGCGGGCACCGAGTCATCTGGCAAGACAGCGGGCACCGAGTCACCTGGCATAATAGGATCATCAGGCTGGATCAGTTCATCAGGCTGGGTAGAGACATCAGGCTGGGTAGAGACATCAGGCTGAATTGTGGGTGCCGAGGCACCAGGCTGAAACCACGGAAGGCGGGTTCTCAGACGGCAGGCTGACCGGTTTGGATACTGGCAGGATGGTACTGGTTGGAAAGAATTTTTTCTTTTTTCTGGTTTTAGTTACTGGAGCACTGTAAGTAAACGCAGGTCTGTAAACGAATGGAGCAGCTGAAGACAGAGAAGAGCTGGAGGATGGAACAGAGGAGGGAGCAGTTGCTACAGAGGACTTCTTTACAGGGTTAAAGAAAGGATAGGTGCAGCGAGTGGGAGCAGGGGACTGGTATGTGGTAGTTAGCAGAGTATACTGGGCCGTCACTGGGGGTGCTGTCGGGGATGCAGGAAGAGTGCCTTGAGCAGAGGAATGATGTTGCAAGCCGACTGAGGCTGGGTGCAACAAGTCTGACCATGTCTGCAGTATGGGTTGAACAAAGCTCCGCTTACACAAAGCCTGTCTGGTCAAAGACTGCACTGCGTTTATATAATCTCTCAGTACCTGTTGTGAACATGCAGAATAATGCTCCAGAAAGTAATCCACATCATCCTCTAATAACCATACCAGGGACTCTACCTGGTCGGCACTAAATGGCGGCAAAAATTCATCCCTGCATTCGGGGGTACCAGATGAAACCAACTCAGCACAAACCTGAATCAATGGCTGCACCTCAGAGAATTCTGTGCCCTGATCTACTAGGCAATGAGCGATCCTTATACACTCTAGTCTATCCCTGGGATACTCCTTCAGAGTCTGATAAGCATAATCCCTGTCATCAAACACTAGCAGAGAAAAATACACCACCTCATCAAGATCCATCCTTCCCAGCAACAATAAGCCAAGATGGCTTCCCTGTGTAGCCACTTCTGGTCAGGATTGGCCTTGGTGTAATGTCAGGGATGCGGGTGTGACCAGAAGTGTGTGGACTGGCACAGGGAAACGTAGGCTTCAGATATAGTAAATAATATAATTTTTTGAGACTAACAATACAAATATAAACGCAGTGCACCAAACCCCAAGCTAACACAAATACATACAACAAGGTGAAACAAACCAAACCTAAACTGATATAGATACACAGGTACATACACATATAGAGCACAACGTAGTCAGGCAGGCCGGGTCGATAACTATCGGGCAGGTAGGTACAGAAGGAGCAGGCGGAGAGAATGGTCAGGGTCACAAGACAGGGATCACACAGGAGAAGTCAGCAGAGGTCAGGATCAGGCAGGGTCGGCAACAAGTCAGACAGAAACAGGAATAGAAATGCAGGTTACAAGGTACAGGGGCCCATGGAAAAACACACACCAAGGCCCTGACTGTGAGTCTGGCCATTCCTTAACCACTTCCAGACCGGACACATTTCCCCCCTTCCTGACCAGGGCAATTTTCAGCTTTTAGCGCTATCACGCTTTGAATGGCAATTGCGCGGTCATGCAACACTGTACCCAAATGAATTTTTTACCATTTTTTTTAGATAGATAAAGCTTTATTTTGGTGGTATTTATTCACCACTGGGATTTGTATTTTTTTTTGCTATGTAAATGAAATGTCCAAAAAAATTTTTAAAAAGTGTTTTTTTAATAAAATTTTGCAAATAAATAATATTTCATCATAAATCTTAGCCAAAATTTATTCCGTTATCTTTTTAGTAAAAAAAAAAATAAATCCAAATTAGTTTATAAGCAAAAATTATAATTTTTAAACATTTTTTGTACATTTTTATTTTATTTTTTATTCTATTTTTTTTATTTTTTGTTTTTTACATACTGTCACCCTAGCAGTACAGTGTCACCATGGTGACACTGTACTACTTGTGAGGGGTGATAAAGATTTTTTTTTTTTTTTTACACTGATTGCTTTTACACCCATATAGGATGTAAATGCAATCATTTCTCTTTCTCTCTGTGTGTGCATTCCTGCACTCATTGAGAAATACAGAGTGAGCTGTGATTGGTCACAGCTTGTCACATGGTACAAGGCTTTTGTGAATAGCCTTGTACCATGTGACCTCTGTGATCATTCACAGATTTCACACATAGTAAGCAATGATGTCAGAAGTGACATCTTGCTTACCACTTTGCATGTGATCACTGATTGGCCAATCAGTGATCACATGATCGGGACCTCGTACAGAGGTCCCGTCCGACGATCGGTGTTTCACTGTGTCTGGAGGACATAGCGGGCACCGGATCGCGGTGCTGCGCGCGCTCCCAGGGAAAAAAAAAAAAAAAAATACAAAAAAAAAAAAAAAAAAAAAAAAAAAAAAACAAAAAAAAAAAAAAAAAAAAAAAAAAAAAAAAAATTTGCTGGAGTGGTACTGCAGCCCACAAGGCAGGGGTGAGGTCCCACCGTTATTGGGAGTACCCTGACACCTGCTGCCAGCCCTGTACTGCAGCCCACAAGGCAGGTGAGTCCCACCGTTATTGGCAAGTCCATTCTCTGACACCTGCTGTAACCTGTGAAAGCACAGTTCATTATAAGTATAATCAGTTGAATGTTGCACAGTGGCTAAATGGTTAGCACTTCCACCTGGCAGTATTAGGGTCGTTGGTTCGAATCCCAGCCACGGCACCTCCTGCCTGGAGTTTGCATGTTCTCTTTGTGCCTGTGTTTCCTCCAGGTACTCTGGTTTCCTCCCACACTCTAAAGACATGCCGGATAGGTTAACTGGATCCTGTCAAAATTGGCCCTAGTATATGTATGAATGTAAGTTAGGGCTCTTAGTACGCCCCTTGAGGGTTAGGGACTGATGTGAATTTACCACATCTATATGTAAAGCGCTGCGTAAATTGACAGCGCTATAGAAGTATCTGAAATGTACTAGCACCCCTAACACTTATTTTTGCTAGCTATATAATATGCCCAAATCTTCCTTGTTAGAACACACATGTGCAAGTATGTCCAAAATAACAAACCAAAAGCCCCCTATTGCACGACAAGACCATGTTCTGTACCAATGAATAGGTCGTGTTCAATGTGCAGCTAGCTATTCTTTTTCTACAATCCTCTTAACAGTAATAAATTGGGTCCCCAATTTATGTTGACTTTGGGCCTTTACTGGCAAATATATATTCACCAATCTCATATACACAGTATAGCTGCAAGCATACATTCACCAATGCCAAATCTACAATAGAACTGCAAACATATATTTGCGAATGTCATATACACAATGGAGCCGCATGTAAAATTGCTATGGTGCACAAATAAACACCAAGACGACTGTTGGAGGAAGCGCTAGAGCAGCTGTCATACCGGAAATACGTCATCATTTGGGGAAGGACGTTTGCACACACCCGGAAGTGGAAGTGGGGAGTGTGAGTGGATGGGAGTGTAGTTAGGAGAGTTTAGTGGTAATTTGCAAGTCATTTTTTAGTTTTGTGAATTGTTCTTTTGTGGAATGCCAGACCACATCTGGACATGGCGAGATCACTGTTCTCCACCGAGGAGCTGATCCTCATTTGCTGGGGAAACATTACTAATATTTGTTGTATTTTCAGTTGAAAACATGTCCAATTCCTAGATCCATTGAGGTACATAGCAGAGGTTCAAGGTTCTTCCTAACTATACAGGTGGCACAGACACAAGCATACACCCAGGGCCACTGTTAGATATCACGGGGCCCCGTACAGCATACCTGACAGCCCCCCACCGCCAGAGAAAATATCCAAATTATATTTATGGTAAAAATACACTAAAAACATTATTAATGGACATAATCCCAACCATATTCCTGTGAAATCTAAATGATAAAACTGTACTGAGTTCATAAATAAAGTTATGTGTGTAATTGAGGTTTTGGGGCTCATGGGTGCTGTGGCCTGTAGAGTGAGAAGCAGTGGTTTGTTTTTGTGGCCATCGCCGTTTGCAGGCAACCTATGTTACACTATGGAATTGCTGCAGGTCATAATTTGATAAGCATATGGGTGCAGGTGTACAGCCCTGAACACAGACAGTGAGCATTCAGGGACACTTACCCACGCCTTCACACCTGTCAGATTAAAACCTGTGTTCATACAGCTGCTGTGTCCCCATAGTGTAACAGGTGGCTCTAGCCACATAAACAACCCACTCATTCATGCTGTACAGGCCAGAGGACCTGTGTGAATGGGGCATTTTTTTTTTTTTTTTTTCCTCAGCTCGTTAATTTTAATGTCCTGCCTAATGTGTGGGAACATGCAAAAATACTGCAGGCATATTTTTTTAAAAGTGTGTTGCACCTAACCGTGCACATCTGCAAAGGGCCTTGCATTTCTTTGCTGTTCTGGAAATGTGTGTTCTTGCATGCGTTTCTGCACCACCAATGGTGTGAACAAGTCCTAAGGGCCAGTTCGCACTATAGAAAAAGTCTAGATGTGTTCCTGATGCGTTTTTGCATGCCCTTTGGGCATGCATGTTTAGTGTGTTCCAGTACATTTTGGATGTGTTTTGGACACGTTGCATTGCATTTTTGTATCCCTTCCAGTTAGTTTTTTCTACTTTCTTTTTATTCAATTTAATTAGGGACATGTGCGTTTTAGTACATTCAAGGACATTTCAATGTGTTCCAGTACAGTTCTGTGCAGAAACAATGCAGTGTGGTCAACTTTGTTTACAGCACCTGCAATGCATTGAAAATGCAAGCGCTGATGTGAACTATGACATTGACAACCATATAACCTTCTTTCTGTGCGTTTGTGATGCCAAAAAAGCAACTGAAACACATGTAGTAGTGTGAACTGGTCCTAAAGATTATTAGAGGTAAGGGA